CTCTCTCTCTCTCTCTCTCTCTCTCTCTCAATACTTTAAAACTTATACTAATAGTTATGATCTACTGTTAAGATAATATCAAAATGTTTATAATTGACCCCATTTTCAATACTTTCAATGACAACCAATTTTTATGTGAATATAATTATCAATTGTTTATTTATTATACTATTTAAAATGAAATGTTATATATAAACCAAAAAGGTGTTAATTTTTCTAAAATATATTTTACGGTAATTTTTATTTTTAAAAATTTATTAGTTATGACTCATAGAAAAATTATACAACTGAATTATCTAATAATGCAAACCTTATGCTAAATCTATTGGACCATGCTAAAAGTAAATAATTTAAATAAATACAGTACGAATAAATAAGTATTTATTTACTATAACAATAAAATCTTTATAACTAAGTGAAGTGGTTAGAATCGTAATTGTTAAATTGTAAATTCTTGTTTAATTGTGTTAAAGAATATTCTTTGAGTGTAATGTTTGGTAAAATGTCACAATTGTTGAGTTTCTAATTTGAGGTCAAGTCCTTAACATATATTCTGCACTATTTTTTGAATTCTTAATAATGACATTGAAATTCTATATTTATTTAAAAATAAATTTCATGTTTAGTCATTAAATCTTTATTAATTCCTATAATAAACAATTGAATTTTAATTTATTCATTCAATACATTTACAGTAACACTGTTTTAATACATGTATAAAGTTTTCGAAACGAATTCTAAATTTATTTTTACTCCTATTTATAAATACATTTGACTTTTCTGTATTAAATGTCACAAAAATAGTGACAAAAAGACTCTTAATGTTGTAAATAATAGAAACACAATATTGCCATCAGATTCAATATTTTCTCATTTTATTTCAATTAGGATAAATGAAATAAATCATAACTTTATTATGAAAAATTGTTTTTATAAATAAATTAAAATTGTTTGCTTAAAAATGAACTCTCTCTCTCTCTCTCTCTCTCTCTCAATGTTGGATAATATGAATATTTGAATGCTTGTAATGAGTAAACAATTTAAAGTCTAATGTTAAGTATTAAATGTTGAATCGACGTAAGCATTTCCTCACAAAACTAATTCTGTTTGAATATATTTAAAATGAAATCCTCTCAAGAATTCTTACAAATATCAAACAATTCTCAGAATTAAATTCTATTTATATTGATCAATTTTCTAAATATACATGTTTATTTTTATAAATTATAACAAGACTTTACATATCTATATATACAAACAGTCCAGTGTACTATACAATCCGTGTATTATTTGACATAGTACAATTATTTGTGTAGCATTATTTGTAGGCAATCTTTATATTGATTATTAAAATTTTACAAATGTTTAGAAAATAGTATATCAATGTTTAAATATTTATTCCGTCCATAATTATTGTATTTTAATATTTAAAGTATAAATTAGGTATACTTTATCATAATTATGTTTTTACCAAAACTACTATACAAACATATAATATAAATATGAATAATCTGTTAATAAAAAAGTTATATGCTCATTTAATTAAACATGAAATCTTAAAATTTTATGAAATCGTCAAAATTGAAAAATTTCAAAACATTATTTGCTTAAAACATAACATTTAAATATAATTATCTAATAATAGAAATATTGGCACTTTTAGTGAAATTGTCGCCCCATTTGATACAACAAAATATTCTATAAATGTAAACCAAAAATAATATTTTTACTAAAGTTAAGTAGTTTTCATTCAAATGGTTTATAAAATAACTTATACTTTAATATAATAGCCATATATACTGAACAATGTACCGGTATAATTGAACAAAACAATTAACATTTAAATAATCTATTAATAATAAATAAAAATAAAAATAAACAGAATCTCAAAAATATTCTACTATTTTGATAGCAATTCTCAAAAGTTTGACAACAGTTTTGAAGTTTAAAAACAGTGTTTGATGTGCTTTTAAAATTCTTGTCTACATATTGTTCAAATCATTTGGTATAATATTTATTAAACATACCGTAAGCATAATTAAAAGTTATAAAATGGGTTCTCACACAAGAATATGGATGTGTTGCTCCACTTTCGCAGTTGACTTTCATATGCTATCCTTGGCTTTGGTTTTGGTTATTGCCATTAAGAGCCAAAACATCTGTAAACTATAATTTCACACATTTTGACATTTACTTAAACACATATACTGTATATACAAAAATGCAAACTTTTATTCCGTATAATAAGAAAGCGGAGATGTATTGACACAGAATTATAGCACAAATTTATTTATCCTTTAGTTTCACAATTGTTTTCAATACGCGTGAAATACTGTGAAAAATTATACATTTTATATACAATTATTATAAATAAACCATTTATCAGAGGATTGGTATGATTTCAATGATTATTAAACAAACAACTATTGATTGAAATGAGAGATTAATAGGGATTATAGTAGAGAATACTGTAATCATAAGGATTAGGATATATAAGGAATATAAGGATTGGGATCTATTGAAAGGACTTTTAGACACGAGTCGCCTGTTGTTGAGGACCACTTCCAGCCCTTCTGTGGACCCCCAACACAAGTCCTCTTCGGTGCACTCTTTGTGTGCCATTTGTGTCAAATGGTGCCAAACTGTGTCCTCTTCTCACCACACGGACAGTCATCTCCTGTGACCCCCTATTCTCAGCCAAACCCTTGACATCATTAACCGCTTGTGCCGTTGCCTCCAATGTCTTAAGTCTTAGTTCATTGAATGAATCCATTTGTGCCAATCGTCTCCATCGGCTCATAGTTTCAGCTCCCGATCCACTCTTTGCATCATTTGGTGCTAAGTAACGACAATTGTTATCAAAAATTAGTAAAACACTTCATTATTAGCTATAATCACATTTGTCTTCATTGTCTTCAATGGGTGTTAATATGAGAACAATTCCCTCATTCTCTTTGTCGATGTCTTCCTCCGAGTCATCACTACTTGGATCCGATTCTTCGTACGACATGTCGTCCACTTGACTATCGCTTATGTCGTCCACCAATTCATAAGAGTCTGAATCCGAGTCATATTCCTCAGAGTCGTTGGCAACACCTCTAATCACTTTGTCATACATTTAGGCAATCAATAGACAGACAATTAAATTGAGTATAATTTGCAAAATGTTGTGGACTTTCACATTAGGTGTCAAACATGTGCAAATGCTTTGTATCACAAATAGATAACAGTTTTTCAAACTTTTATTCATTGCTTATCATATAAACTAACCTTTCGTTTGTGACTCGTTTTCGTGTCATTGAGTTAAGTCTCCGAAGTTTACGCAAAATTAAATTAATACTGAAAATAGTTTGACTAACTTGTTCAAGTTTACGTTAACAGTTTAACAACTATAGATTTTAAATAAAATTGCCAAATATAACATACATTCAGTATTGAATATTTCATTTAATTCGCTGTAGAATTTCCAATGGATTAAAATGTACAAACAAATTAAACCCTTGGCACTTTATTCCGAAATTTTAAAATCATATTTATAGTAACAGATGCCTACAAATGATTTGAATTAGTGTCTTATATTGCAATACAGTATATTTATAACTCATTGATAGTTGTGTTCATAAACTTAAATTTGGTTCCTATTTGTGATCAAAAACTTCTGAAACATTAAGTTTTGATGTATTTGTTCGCATTAATTGAATCAATTATATTGATTGTTCACAGCATCTCAAGATGTGGCTCAGGATAAGGCAACATTGAGTGTCTATGAGGTGACACATATCCTGAACCTGGCCTATGGTGTGGACAATGCGTTTGAAGATGACTACAACTACAAGAAGATTGAGATCCTCGACGTTCCCGAAACTGATATCAGAAACTATTTCGAGGAATGCTTTGAATTCATAGACGAAGGCAGACGTTATGGCAATTGTTTGGTTCA